CATAAGTACTACTTCAAGTTTAGGTTATTAGGTCCAGGGAAGTACTGCCACCTTACTTATTTCTGCCGCCAAGCGCTAATATGAGCATTATTTCTTTCCGGTTTTGAAGGGTAAGGGTGCTGGTGAAATTACAGGCACATGGAACATTGAGTGGCAGTGTCCTTCACATCTTTGCAATTTAAAGCGAAGTTGCACTGCAACTGTTATGGACAGGCATGTCGCTTACCACCAGGCGACTTGTTCGTCCCGTCACATGGTATCATAAACAAAATATCCCAATTAAAATCTCTCGTTCCGACTGAAATATGAAGTCACAAATATGTTAACAATACTAAAGGCAAGGCAGAACCAATATAATTTCTTCTATTATTAGCAATACGAGTTTTAATATCGAAAACCAATCTCACATCACCACAACAGGGTCCAATAGCTTGTTAACCTTTCTATTGATGCTGTACCTACAATACAGAGTGTAAAACAAAGTAAGTTTGATATTTCATAATGGTGATTCTACTCAGATACTGAGCAACGTTCCGTAAGAGACTCGTTAAAAATACATTTTTAACGTTATATATATAATAGTTGATTTGCAATCAACTGAAAAAATAAAGCGTCCTTTACAACATTTATGGACATAACATTCGATTTTGATGTATGGACAGACATGTCGCTTAACACATTACGTATCATAAAAAAATAATGTAATAAATTAGATACATTCTATCGTTTTATTACGATGTTTGCTTCATCGTTATTAGAGTGGTTTCATTCAGGACCAATAACCTATTGGTCCCCCTATCGGCCCCTTATCACTGCGACCATTAACTGATCTATTGTGATCCGCGAGAGGTATTGCTGCAAAATATTTACAACTTAGAAATTTAATTAATAGGTATATACCGCCACCGGAATTCATACTGTGGACCTCATATGCAAAGTTAAATTTTTTTGCGAATTAGATATGACTTTCGTAGGAATAATGTTTTGTAGCATTTAATTAAATTCCAGTTATAAGTTTTATAGCACCCTGTATATAGTAATAATGCACGAATGCCCCCAGCTCATTACGATTAACCTTATTCGCTAATTATACAAAGGTATTCAAATATAATCTGGATTTATTGAGTAAGTACAATTATATTAAGTAGCAAGTTCTTAGGTTTTCGTGATTGTCACACATATGAAACGAACCTATTTTTTATTTCGGATGATGATGAGTCAGCCCTGAGACCTGTGAAGGGCAGGAAGCGTTGGTTTGTTTGAAAAAATAAATATACGAGATTGAGATCCAAAAACCTATTTATTTACTAAATATAATATGCAATTCATATTAACATGAAAGGTTTTTTGTCTTACAAAATAGAGGACAAATTTTCCATATAATTTTATTTTGCCTATCGTCACTCTCGTCTTTTATAGAAGGTTCGTATTTTTATAAGACTGAAGACAGTGTATATTATTAGTTAAGGTGAAGACGCAACGTACTAACTAATTACACGAACTCAAATGGTTTAGTTCTTTGTAGTGTACCCACTATATTGTATTGTCGAGTAGCTGTATAGCCTCTATGTTCACGTAATGATGAAGTCTATGTCCGTGAGCTACGGCGTACTCTTTTATCACTTTATCTACGGGTTCTATATTCAAATCAGAGCTCTATATCCAAATCAGAGCTCTATACCAAGGAGCATTCACAATTTTTCTTCAATTCTCCTTAGTATTTTATTTTGAAAGCATCGTATTATCTGCATATTCGATATATCGACAAATCAGATTAGAAAATACAAGCTATCTTTCAGTGACTTGTAGCAAATTTCCGCAATACATCTCGGAAAAGCCCTGCCGTCATATTTTTCATCAAAATTTAAAAGCCATTTCCCAATAGGTATATATCGACAAAGAGACAGAACGCCAGGTTATAGGAAGGGGACGCGAACGTGAAATGGAAGCAAAATCTATGTAGAGGTATTATATTGCTATCTATAGTATTTCAACAATGTTCTAGGTGCTCTGGTGTAGTATGTGACCTCAACCTCGGTGGCTTAGATAATTTTGTTACTCGAAATTTTCTTAATAGGTTCTGGTCTGGGTGTCCAGAGTAGTGCCTCGGCGTGCATTGTATACTCATTGTATAGGAAATTACCTAGTTTGATACCATGTCACTTAAAAACACTGCAAGTCCCAGTGTTGTGTTTGGTAATTTCATGACAACGAGAATGTTTCGGCTGTTATCAAGGCAATACAAATTTATTCTATTTTCAATATAAATAGATTATTTTGCAAAATAAATTATGTTGGCTAGATAGAGTGTTTTTTCTATAATAATACCAAGTGACGGGATGAACAAGTCGTGCGCCTGGGGGCAAGCGACACGCCTATCCATAACAGTTGCAGTGCCACTCAGAGGTTTAAATTACAAAGATCTTAAGGACACTGCCACTGCGCCCGTCACTCTGAGTCATAAGTTGACGAAGTCGCATGTGCCTGTAATTTCACCAGCACCCTTACCCTTCTAAACCGGAACGCAGTAATGTGGCAGTACCTACTTCTCTGGATAAACTCTTTCACAAGAAGTTCTACTGCTACTAAAACGTATTACTACTGAGTAGTGACTCAGAGTGAATTGTACTCATTATACAGGAAATTCCCTAGTTTGAGACCAGAGTGTAGTTCTCTGGCACTATTATATTATTATTTATCTAGTACCGCCAGAGTTTCGTTACTTTGTTATTCGTTATTCATAGTATAGGGAATGACCTAGTTTGGGATCAGGTGAGTAGGAATTTCTTTTACTCTATATTTAGGTTACGTTAGTTCAAATATTCAGCTCCAACCTTACGTAATGCCGTGATCGTCTTGTAGGGTCTTTCTTTATACTGTACGGGTTATTTGTAAAACACTAAGGCTCTAGAAAGATAGACTGCATTTCAACTGCACTCCGACCGTGCAGCCCGATTGCAGTCGGTGTGCAGTTGGCTTGCAGTTCCAACGAAACGGTTGAGTGCAGTTCAAATGCAGTTGCCTCTTGCAACCTCTCAGGTTGTTACTATTTTACAAATAACCCTGTCATCAGATTTTCTGAAATCTCTTGACTTTTGTAGGTTGCTGCCTTTTTTGTACTAAACGCTACCATCTCACATTAATTCAACAGATTACCTTCAAAAGTACATTTCACATCCTACACACTAGATTAAGTAGGCAGTAAGTATACGATATCAGGTAAAGAATTCGTTGCACAACATTTATACGACGTGAAACTAGACGACAAATGTCGTAAAACCGCTTAAGCATATACAAATTTGGAGCGACATGGTCGTAAAGGCTACGTGGTATTGTAAATACTGACATGCTATTAAATGTTCGACCCCCAGAAACGAATCAATAGGAGCGTCCTGGTGGTAGGGATCGTGCCCATTGTTTTATCCGAGACGACAATAATACGCCGTTCTATAGCTAACAAAATATACAAGGCAGTAGGTTACAAAACAACACAACAGTGTTTTTTCAATAGAAAACTATCGTAAAACTCTATATAGTCCGTGATCCTTAATCATGAGCTTCCTCGGCTGCGGCTCGACGATAGTCGAAAACTACGCGCCAAAGCACTGACAGCCCGTTTATTCAGTATGGACATAGGAGAGGACGGCAGCGAGCGACTACCCTCGTTTGCTTCGTTCTTATTAAAGTCTTAATGTAGGATTGCACACTACACTAGCCATATCACGTTCTAAAATCTCATTCACACTAACAGTTCACATGGCCTTGTATTGCAGGCTCTGTCTTTAAATTTAATGCGTTTTAACAGTGATATTGTTCCTTATTATATGAATGCAAAATTTAAGACAGAATGTTACGTAATGAAGCAAATGAACGTTTGGTTTAACAAATGCACGTAGAACACGAGATTCTTTTATATTCAAAGAACTTCTCTACTTGTCCACTATTTAGTTTCTCTTTAAACTCTAGGCACAATACCCGTTTCATTGTGAGGGTACAGTGCCAAGATCGCGTTAAGCTTGTCACTTAAGATTTGAATTGAACTCTAATTCAAAAACTCTACAAAAACTACTATCCATATCTATAAAAAATGGAAGTAACTTCGATCATTTAAAAAAAAGAATGAATATTCCCGTTGTTTTTTTTTTATTAAAATTGATAGGTTTTTAGGTTAGGTCTGAATACTAGCTATAATGTCACATGGCGAATAAAAGCAAGCACGAGCCCAAGCGCTCTCAGCGTTTGTGTACATGTGACGTGGCGTCAAAAGGCCATACAATCAACGCTACTCCATTTGGTGTGTTTTTTGGAGGGTGATTAAGAAGTTTTTCTGCTATTACGGTTTCAAATTAGGAACTATGGTTTAAAAAAAATGTTGTGGTATAATGCCTATTAGACCAGTCGTGTCGTACAAAACAATGGATACAAATTATATCATCGGAGTAGGCCAGTCAATTCCTTCAGCACCGTCGCTTCAAGTTATGAATGTTAAAACATCATTGTCGTATGACACGCTACAACGTACATCGTATTGATGAATATTTAACAGTTATTGATTTATTCTAGAGAGCTACGTTTATGCCTTGTCGATAGCAAAAGTAAGGTAATTGTTCTTATGGATGTAATAGTACGTGCAATAGAATAGTTTTCTTTGTGTTCATGCCACATTAGATTATGGATCGTTTTTATATTAAAGCTAGAGTTGAAATTAAATGTTAATGTGCTTTTGATTATACTTGCTTTACCTAATTATACAGGGACAAAATTGGATAACGAACATAAATGTTAACATTCTGATTATCTTCGGAGACTTATATTGAAATTGTATTCAAATATTTTAGTTGTCATATGCTTATTGTTCTAATGAACATATTTTTCTTTTAAATGGATATTTTCTACGAAAATCGAAAGAGTTTCGCTATGGCTACATACATATTAATGCACGTGACTGTACATATGTGTATAAACAAACTATATAATTTAGCTCCCTAACCGGAACTAACCTGCATCTCGGGTGATCCTCCTTCATCCCGAATGAGGAGAAGATAGCTGTGCCCATCAATGATTACTTCCTTCTTGAAGCGGCCACCTGCACATGAATAAAAAATTACCTAATTACATGGACACACACACATACATTGATACATGTATATTTTTAATTGTCTCCCACTGACCTATGCTCTAGTCAAGTAGGTACAGATGAATTTGCGACATAAAGGATAGGATACAAAGTAAGAAGTAATTGACTTAAAAGCATCAGATGATTTTGACATTAGCAGCAAATCTCATTAACACTTTGCAGAACAACTTTACCAACCCACTCATTTTCTATCTCATCCATTAACTTATACTCTAATACATATAGATAAACCAAGAACAATATGAGTAAATTTGATTTTAGACCCACACACACAAACAAATAAGTAAATTGCTATTAGAGGACTAAATTAGTAAGAGAACTACATGCCCTATAGGCTATAAACTTCAATAATGGTGCAGGTTTGTATTTAGTTCAGTTTAGTTTTGTAGCACTAGCAGCGCCATCTAGTTAATGATAAAAGCATTTACATAAATTTTGGCTAGAATGCGCCATCTGTTGCGTTTTCTCTGTATTACTTGAAATGTAAGCACACAGAGGATTTCCGCATCAGGCAGTCCGTGGTTCTAGGTATTATCGCTAGGTGGCAGAATGAATGAAAATTTTTAATTTACAATTTTTAAATTAATATTATTAAAGTGTACTGTTACTTATAATAAAAAGTAATTATATTATATTAGTAGATAATAATTTACGTACCTTCAGGACTCTCCTCTTGCATGTAAGTCCCTGTCAAATAGCGGTGAACTAGCGCTGATTTACCACTGTCCGGAGACCCCAAAACTCCAACTCTTAGCTCTGTCACCCCTCGCGACGCTGTCCATTCTTGGCTGTTGACGAAAGAATCTGTAATGAAAAGAAAACATTGCTGAATATTATAGAATACAGGAAAATTAAACATAGCGCTATAGAGTAAAATGTGACGTTTTAACGCCATCTATTGGCAAGTAGAAAAAGTTTTAAAGTAAAAAGTAAGACAATATAGTCTACTATAATATAGACTATAATATTATTGAATAAAATAATGTTGAAACTGACGGATGTGGTAGTGAATAATTTATATCAACAGAATTATGTAAAACCAGAAACTTATATTGAATATCACACATTGCGAAATAACTTTCACTTGTATCCTATGACTTCCTGGTGGTTAGATAAACGGACTGGTTTGTCATATTGATGCCCTAAATAAACGTAACTCGTTACAATTTTAACTAAGTTAAAATTGATAACAAAAACTTTTCAGAGGACTTTGGTGGCCTAACGGTTTACATTATAAGCGCTGTCACAGTCTCCCGGTGGGACTAATTTGGAAATGAACTTTTTAAATTGGTTCTGGACTAGGTGTTCTGGAAAGTGCCCCAGAATTCCGTTGCTCTGGTACTCATAGTACAGGGAATTCCCTAGTTTGAGACCAGGCTATTGGTGAGGTTGTGTGGCATACATATTACTTATTCCTTTTTACCGTAATTTACTGCGGTAGTACTAATCGCTAGAAAGAGATCATAGTACATATCTCAACCAGAATGCGAGGGAACGATCTCAAAAAAGTCTAGGACAACAAACGTAACCGGAATAAAATATTGGTCGAAAAGACGCGACAATGAAGAAAATGAAGTTTATTTTTTTCTTTTTAATACCTAATGACATCAAGGTTGAGACTTCCTAGTAAGTATTATCTACCTGTGGCAGGAAGGCCAGCTCTTCTATTTCTCTTTAGTAATAGAAATAAACATACTAAATACAACCAGCAATAATTGTAACTTATTAATTAAAAAAACCCACCTTAAAAGTTCATGGAATTACCCTACATCTATTTGCTGAGTTTTATTGAAATCGGTTACCGGAAAGTGCGCGAATATTTGGTGCGGTAGAATATTTTCTTAAAATTTAAATGGGACCAATATTGAGGTACTCCCAAATAAAAAGAATCCTCAAAATCGGTCCACAAATGCCGCGTAACATACATACAAAAGAAACTACAGCCGAATTGAGAGGACTTATATGCGGATGAATGAGGCGCAAGAGGTACGTCAGGAACATAAGAATAGAAGTGTGTAGTCTTCGCCTACTACTGGGAGACCAATAAAATATTTCTCAAGTCAAGAGCCATAGTATAGGAATTTCATTGGAAATTCATAATAACCTGTATTGTACATCGAACTTCATTATGTTTGTATAACGTTCTGACACAAAAAAATCTTGGGTACAAAGAAGTTTCGTTTACTTTGTGTCGTCGTCCACAGACGTCCACATTTAACTTCTGTTTAGTAAAACAAATTTTCTGACCGGTTAAAACCATAAAACCCCAGAAACTTACACAATAACCCATTAGAGTAAGACATAACGGTACTCGTAAAACAATATTGTTACTATTAGAGAACCAGATTTTTATCCGCTTCCGTTTTATTCTGTCAATAACCTAACAGTGCTTTAAAGTTACGTCGCATCAAAAAAGCATCGACCAGTCAACTTATAAATGTTAAATAAATAGGTTACATTAGAAATGATTTGTATAAAATTATTTAATTTTATGTAAATAATTGACTGTGATGGCGAACATCCTTTCATAAAGAAACAGTAAAACAGAAGTAGCAGCAGAAAAGCTCCTTGTGAAAGAGTTTGTCCAGGGAAGTACTGCCACCTTACCTACTTCTGGTGCCAAGCAGTAATATGAGCATCACTGTTTTTCGGTTTTGAAGTGTAAAGTTCAAAACAGAAAAACAGCCTACTTTCACGGCGTTTCTGTGTAACAAATCGATGCCTTACTTTCTCAAACTCGTATCTTATAAAGAGTACACATTTAATTATTCAGGAGATGGCAAAATTTTCTATTATATTTCTTATCAAGTGTGTTAATTTGTATGCATTACTTTAAGAATATGTAAAAGCCAGTGCGTAAGGAAATGTAATGTGAAATCCGCTTTTGCATAAAGAATCCATTTTTTGCATTTCAGTGACTTTGTGTTTTAAGATACGAGTTTGAGAAAGTAATGCGACGAAATGTTGAAATCATCAGTTGTAATTTATATTTATCACATTTCAGACAAGAACTACCCTTTTTTCATGCGGGTTTAATGGGCGATATACTCCAGCTACTTCGAACTACAACCAAACCAAAAGCATCAAAGAGTACATAAGATGAGATATGGACAAATACTTTACTTCACAATATTTTCGCAAATTAAGTACGCGTATGTTTATGTGGGTAAACGGTATCGGTATTTTCCGTTCATATACAGGGTTATTTATTTGGAAAATATTAATAACGTGGCCAGACTATTACTCACATCATAAACAAATCCCTTGTTCCATGACTTTTTACAGAGTATAATCAATAATTTATCAAAATCTAATTTATAAAAAATTTAAAAAAATAAGTTTTTCTGACATCTGATATTTTTAGATCTGTATTTCTTAGTAACGTAGTAAGTTCAAATGTGCAAGCGTATTACCTTTTTTTTTATAATATCAAGTGACGCCTGATGGTAAGCTACACGCCATAACAGTTGTAGTGCCACTCAGAGCTTTAAATCGCACAGATCTGAGGGACACTGCCACTGCGCCCGTCACCTTGAGACATAAGTTGACAAGTCCCATGTGCCTGTAAATGCACCAGTACTCTTAGCCTTCAAAACCGGAACGCATCAATCCTAACATTACTGCTTGGCGGCAGACATGATAAGGTGGCAGTACTTCCCTCGACGAACTCCTTCACAAGGAGATCTACTACTACTAAAGCCTACTTACCTAGCGCTTTCTTTTGTTACCGCACAGAATTATCACCGGTTAGAGCGATCTATTTAAATATTTTTATTTTTATAAGAAAATAATAATAATAAATAAAACCGTAGGGTACTACGGATATATAGGTATAGCTTTCTATCTATTATATTAGAACTCAATCGCATATAGTAATGTATGTACCTACTGATATGTTTAATTGCCTCCGAGGCCGAACGGTTACCAAGCTGGACTGCCACACAGATGTCCCGGGTTCGGAGAAATATTTGTACGACCAACATTTATTTCTCTCGTGAGTTTGGGTGTAATGTGTGTTTGTCTATGTGTGTGTCCATGGCACCTGCGATACAGGGTATTAATGCGGGGCTATAATAACAATAATAATAAGGCGCACACACATGCGCGTTATTATTATTATTATGTTCCGAATTTAACAGTAGGGAAACCTACAGAATTCATATTTAATTACACGTGCGCTTTTATTAATTATATTACTTTTATTTTATTTTGCTTATTTTAAGAATTTATAAATAGCAGTAGAGCTCCTTGTGAAAGAGTTCGTCCATGGAAGTACTGCCACCTTACCTATTTCTACCGACAAGCAATAATGTGAGCATTACTGAGTGTCGGTTTCGTCAGGTAAGGGTGCTGGTGAAATTACAGGCACATGGGACTTGTCAACTTATATCTCAGGGTGACGGGCGCAGTGGCAGTGCCCCTGAGATCGATGCGATTTAAAGCTCTGAGTGACACTGCAACTGTTATGATGTCGCTTACCACCAGGCAGCACTTCTTGTTCGTCCCGTCACTTGGTATAAAATTTATTATATATTTATTATATATAAATTTATAAAATTTTTACATTTTTCATTCACGGATATACAAAATGTAATATGAAAGGGCGGGGTTTCTAACATAAGTTGTGCTTATGAGCAGCCCCAAGACCAGGGGGCCAATCGCGCTAATTGTCAACGGTAAAACCAAAACTAAACCCCAAACAAACGTCGCTAATTTGACTCGTTGCGTACATTTCGTATTTCGTATCGAACTAACTGTCAAAAGAAAAAAGTTAAACCAAAAATAAAACATTACCAATGTGACACGTTTCACACTGTAGTTTACCTAGTAAATAATTATTTCTTTTTTACTTGCTTTGATACTTCCTTTTTTGCGATATCTGCGTCTCAGTGGATAGCAAATTTCATGACTATGAAAAGGTTTCTGTATTATTTATGTACGTACTTATTTTTTTATGCCAGTATTTTGTGTGTGTATCTAACACGACTTACTAATGTCATAGTTTTTGTGTTTTTACGTTAGGTTTGTTGCCGTCATTTTTAACGCAATTACTGTGACCATGAAAAATAGGAAAACACGCAAACTTATGGCGAAAAATAATGAAGCTAAAACAATTTCAGTGCTCTAGTTAGTTATGATGTAAATTATACGTCAAACTATAGTAAGTCACGAAGCGGTTAACAATTATTATGGTCATTGTACAATAGTGATGGGAATTTCTATGTTATTTAGGTCCAACGACTTAATCGACAGACAAGAACATTCACAGCAACTACATGTTCCTAACAAAACACTATCAAAAACGTTTCAATCATCTCAATAGTATAATACAAATAGTGATACACTTCCTATAAAGTAAAGAATATATTCGTTTGTGTGAGAATCTTACCTTGCCGTAACACAGTTTCGACTAGCGCAGAAGGTAAAGAACATTTTTGTCAATATATCGCCATGAGTGTATGAATGATTTATACTATTAAAAAACTAGTACAAATTCAACTGTAAAACTGTTATATTTTAGTTATAATTATTAATACAAAGATCGAGAGAGAGAGAGGAGAGGAATTTTTTCTGAGTGTTTTCATATAATTCTCGTTTGTAATAACATTTACGTTTTATATAACAATCATTTTATTGTCAATTCAGATAATTCTTTCGAGGTGTTTATCTGTACCTGTAATGTATACCCCTCCTTTAATAGGTTAGGTTAGTTTAAGAAAAAGCAAATGTTTCCGAACATGTTTAAGACCAAATTTATTTCGTTTAATGATCTGTTTAGTTAGTTTAGTTCATGAATGAAATTA